AATTCTGGGAAGCTCTTGCTGTGTGCTCAATTCCCTAATAAAAATCATATGAGCAGTCAGCAGAGCGGTCAGTTGGCAAAATTCTTCTCCAGAAAATAACAGATTAAAATATTGAAGTAAAAATCTGCTCATTTTTCTCAAGTACAAATCATTTTTAGATGAAGCTATATTAATGGCTTTGTTTAGCAAGTGTATTATCAGTAGAAAATTGTAGGACTGTCGTTTTAAAATCAATTATTTGTAACTGATTTTATGTAAATAGAGTTTATGTTTCTGCACAAAATTAATTTGCGTTTTGACTTTAGTTTGTTTCTGTTGCTGAATATTACTCTGTTAATCAGTTAAACAGTATACAGAGTAAAATCAATTGATTTTCACTGCTTTGCTTCTCTCAGACTGTTCCCCAAGTCTCTTTATGGAGCATTAGTGAATTCTAGGCAAAGTAACAAATCCATCTTTTTCTTTGAAAACATGTGGCAGGATAGAAATTTTGAATGAAAACTATTGTTTTCTGATGCCCAATAACATCACTGGCAAACAGACAACGTAGGAATAAATAGGTTTTGACTGTTGATTGGGTTTTGATAGTGCTGATGTCTTCTTTAAGAAGTTAAGTTACAGTTCAGGTCTTTCATTAAAAACATGTCACATGGGCAATAAAACGTTCACTGCCAGTACTTTCAGCAAGTATCAATGCTCTAGTGATCTTCATTTCTGTCTCATTGTCAGGTAATTTTTACGGTACTCCGAAGCCTCCAGCAGAGCCCAGCCCCTTTCAGCCTGATCCAGTGGATCAAGTTCTTTTTGACAATGATTTTGATACTGAATCACAGAGGAAGAGAACCACATCCGTCAGCAAAATGCAAAGAATGGACAGTTCTCTCCCTGAAGAGGAGGAGGAGGAGGAAAAGGAAGCAGTTAATGGCAGCGGAGGGATAGGTTGGTTGACAAGGGGAGAAATTCCCTGAAGTATTGTATGAATGGATAAGAAGTATACAAATTACGTTCATGCTTGCTTGAACTGCTTCCTTAGTTTTGGTGAAGTTTGAAGGCAGTTTTCTATTCAGACTGGTGTTTTTACTTGATTTTGAAATGATCTTTTAAAAAGAAACAGCTGTTCTCCCAGCCAGATGTGCAATTTCATCATAAAATGCACTGCTCAGTAGAGAACATGTAGTGCTGGGTATTGGCCAGTTACATGAGGAGGAAGGAAAAATTTATCCACTCTTCAAATAACGGAATCCTTTGCAGAGTATAATTCATACCCTGTAAATGTTACTGTTTATTTTTGAGGAGATTACTCGATTTGTATGCATGAGATTTTAATGAAACAATTGGTTTAAGGGGCAACACTAGCTCATACTGTAAAATTTTTAGATTATTTTGGTTAAGGGAACTATTGCACAACCTGAAACTGCCTAAAGGGGAGTTTGTGGAGAGAAATAAAGCAGAGTGTGTTGAGGCTGGACCAGTGTCCAGTCAGATGGTTGAAAGGTTGGCAGGATGCCCTTTTCCTTTCACTGTCATGGTTACTCATCTCGAGGGGGAAGAACTGATGGCGGAGAAAAACCGTCACATGGCATTTGCAGATGATCCTGTGTGTGTGTAAGACAGACTTGTATTGACCAGACCTGACCTAACCTTGCAAGCTTTGGGGCTGGCAACACAATGGCACAGAGTGGCCCAGTGGCCGGGCTGGAGGTGAAAGTCACGGACATTGTCATGTGACAGAGGATGCTGAGCATAACCTCGGGACTGAAGGGTGGAGGCTCGCATTTAAAGTTTTCTGCAGGGATTTTTGGGAGCTTTTTCTTGCTGTGGTTTGCAGGAGGGTGTTACTTGTTTTATTGGCAGTTTGGGTTTCTCTAAGTTTCATTCTGGTGCTTTGAGGAGTATTAGTAGGATTTGGGGGTTTTTTTGATGGCATTACAAACGCTGTTTTCTATGTAGGAATGGCAACAAAGTGTATTCAACTTGGATTTCTGCCAGTGTTGATTTTTCATCGTGGGCTCAGACACATAATACAAGGTTAATTCTGTTTGGCAGGGGAAGAGCAGAGTTCAGTGTTTTCATGTCAGCTTTTCAAAGTTCACAGCTGAAAAAAAAGTGGAAAAATGCACATCACATACAGGGATGTGTTTGACATCCACTCGTAGCCAGATTAAGAGGGTGGTTCTTTGTGAGAAACAACATAAACATCTGACAAATAGTAACACTTTCCCTGAACAACTGCAGAAAACAAAGAAAAACATTCAGATTCTCCTGACTGGATGAAACCTGTTCCCAGCTACAACCAGACAAGCAGCTCCATGGACTTCAGAAATTACTTGTCGAGGGATGAAACCCTGGAACCGCTGCCCAAGAACTGGGAGATGGCCTACACTGACACTGGCATGATCTACTTCATTGAGTAAGTAGACCGACAGCCCGGAGGGGTTGTTGTGCCCTTCGGAGGAGAGAAGTGCTGACGAGCTGCAGTCTAGGAAACTGCCTGCTGCTCTTACACCTCTCTTCTGCTCTCACTGCTGCTATTTCTGTATGAAATTTAATATATTCCTACTGATAGTCATCTATGCTGCATACTTGGTATGATTGCCATCACGCAGGAAAGCCTTGTGGTTCCACATGTAAAGTCAGTTCGTTTGTAATATGAGTTTTGTATCTCACAAAATACAAAGCTGTGTGGGTATTGCTAGGTGAGGTATAACATCATATAAACCTTCACTATGTCAAATTTCTCTGAAATCCGAGAGCTTGTTTATTCTTTCTTTGCTTCCATGGCTGGGAATGTGCATTTAAAAATACAAATAGCACAGATTAAAGCCCAGGGTAGGAAAGCAGCTCATACGTGCACATGTGAAACAGTCTTCTTTATTAATTTCTAAAGGAAACAAAAACTTCCTGACAGTTAAGTATAAGAAGATGCTAAAAACGTTGTTTCTTTTCAGGTAGAAACAGCTGATATTCCCACATGAGCTCTTGGGGTCAGGGGAGAGTGTTTGTACCTCTAACATTTCATATCTGCCCTGAGGAGTCTCTAGGCTGTTGGTACCTCTGAGCATCGTTGTTGACTTTTTTTTAGCATTTTATGATGTGATTGAGGCACAAATAAAGGTTGCAATATATAAAGGCTACAGTTTGCGCATGGTAGTAAATATTTAAAAGCTAAAGTAAAGCTAAGTTTCTTCAGTTTGAGGGAATTCTTTTCATCTAATGGGGTATGTTCTGCTCCACAGTCATAACACCAAGACGACCACATGGCTTGATCCACGACTCTGTAAGAAAGCCAAAGCTCCTGAAGATTGTGAAGATGGAGGTGAGATGTTCAGAATTCACTTGTCACCTGTGACTAATAAATGTCTGAGTTTATCACAGCTGGATATGATCCATTACTGCTGTGATAGAAGCTTCTTCCTGATACACGTGACTGGAGCGGGCAGTGTCGTGCTGAATGTCCCTGGTTTAGTGGCAGTAGGAGTTTACATTAAGACTGGGAAAGTTCACAGTGTATTTTCCCTGGAGTAGTGGAATCTGACTGAATCGTGGGTTTGTCTGCATTTCTGAGGTGAGAATGATATATCTTGTTCCAGTAACTATCATTGTTAGGGGGAAAGCTGCATATGTTAGTGACGATTTCACTGGAAGTTGTTGCGCGGGTGAAATATGGCAGGAGGGAAAGGTCCATAAGTGTTAGGATACAGGAGTAATGAAGAAGATCCAGCATAATACCTATTGTTGATGGTATCTGTTGCATGTAACATGATGTAATATTTGAATGCATAAGTAGAGGGAACAATCTGACTCCCTTCAACTCTTCATGCTGTTGCTTCAAAGACTTACAGGTCAGCTTCATGACTGGACTACAGAAAACTCCTGCAACCATTTCCTACGTAGTTACGCAATTTAGTCAGCTAGAAAAGAGTACGAAATAGCTCTGTCTTCAGCAAATGCCTGACATGTTACAAAAGCTGAGGCAGACTCAGAATAGCCTGCCATCTTCCTAAATTGCCCAGCCTAACAATCATGAATTCATAATGAAGCCAGCTGGAGCAATGGACACATACTGATGCTTATTAAACATATGTGCAGCTCACCACAGGATAAAAAGAGCACTTTAAACAGAGAGATGCAGGATGTCCAAATGAACAACGTTTAAATGAATAGACCCACCGGGTCTTTTGTTAAACCCTGTGGAGTGATGCTGGTATTAATAATTGGTAACATGTTGTTATGTGCTGGGAAAATTCCTGTTGCCATCAAACTTAGGGCAGCCTCAAACAAGATTACATAGCAATTTTATCCTTCAAATGTCTAGCTGCCTGACTGTATTCATTATTTTAATATTTACATTCCCATGATCAAGGTAACTAGAACAGTAAAGCTAGAATCACAGAATCACTAGGTTGGAAAGG